AAGACCAGCTACACTCATAGAATCCTTACCAATGACTCTAGAAGTGCCACCATCTTCAAAGGTAACAATTCCACCTTCATATTTTTCAAGGGAGGTGAAGTAGGATTTGTCACCTGACATGTGACGAGAGCACCCACTATCAAGATACCAAATGTGTGAGTCACGTGCTTTTAGAGCAGTGTGAACAACCAAATAAGTCAAATCATCTTTTTTCACCCAAATCTTTTTGGTCTTAACAAAATTAGGTCTGGCGGTCTTGGTAAATGTCTTGGCGTTGTGAACACCCTCATGTATCTTGGTGTTCCGCCTAGACATGTAAGGTTGTCTCCTAACCCAAAAAGTATTCAAATTTCTACCCTTTTGAGACACCTTACCAAACAATTCAAAGCAATAAGGACGAATGTGGCCATACCTTCCACAATGATGACAAATAAAAACAGGTTTTACCTCCCTTTTGTTAATCTTACCCCTCACCCTGGCGTACCTTCAGCTTTCCCTTTGCTTAAGTCTTCAAGTCATGTGATATAGAGGCATGTCCCTTGTGAGCTATCGCATTACCATAGCCTAGGCCACTTTTGTCACAACTCATTTGTTGGGACCCGAGGATGTCTTCTAATGATTTGGAAACTTTGTTCCACATGGCAATTGTGGCTCTGGCAATTCGAAGTTCTTCATCTTTATGACAAACCATCTATTCCAATGTAGCTTGTGACATCTCAAGGCTTTCAAGCTTCTCTTCGTATGTGAAATACACTTTTAGGAGTTCATTCCTTTCAATTTCACAAGATAGAAGTTTCCCACATAGGTCTTGCCTGTCACTAAAGATCTTGATAACATTCTGCTTTGCTGTTACGAGTTCTCCTTTTAGCTTGAGATTCTCGCTTTCACATGCTTTGAGGTTGAGAGTGAGTTTGTCATTGATCTTGGACAAATTCAGATATTTATCGTAAATTTTTTCGTAAGCTTGTTGTTGATCATCACCATTAATCTCATCATTGTCTTCTGATGTTTCATCAACTTTTTTTTGCTCCTCATTCTCCTTGATCTCATCCAGTCGAGCAACCACGGCAGGAAAGGTGATAGATGGTGGTAAAGATGGCTCTTATTTTTTATGAAATTGGCTCAGAATGTCTCATGCATCTTTAGCCTTTGTGCAGTGAACAACCTGTTACTATTCTTCATCAGAAGTTGCTCCACGAATAGTAATCAGAGCTCTCTGATTACTCAGATTGTCAGCACTTTCAACATTCTCTTCAATGGCTTGCCAGCCTTCTGGGTCGAAAGCTCTCAGAAACGCCCTCATTCTGATCTTTCAATACAAGTAATTACTCCCATCAAAGGTGAGAGCATGATGCAGATTCTGACCACGAACAAATTCCACTGGCTTCAGAAGAGGTTAAATGAAAGTGGACCAGAATGCCATGAAAGCACTATCCCCGCTTTCATCATCCCAAGTCACTGTATAGATTTTTTTCCGATTCTTTTTCGATGGGCATTCAAGTGCAATATGTCTAAACCCTTGACATTTATAACACTTGACCCCTTGCCCCTTTACCATCTTCTTTTCAGTTTTTGGAGCAAGTTTTGGTGGAAAAGTTTTTGGTTTATCATTACTCTTATCTCTTGAAATAGGGTCTCTGAAATTAGGTTTCTTTTTCTTTTAAAAACTTTTTGAACTGTTTAGTAAACATAGCCGTCATCTCGGGCTCTAGATCAAACTCAGTCTCAGGAGTTTTTGCAGTCTCATGAGCACTAATGAAAGCCACACTATCTTTTTGTTTTTTCTTAGAAATCTGGTAGGCTTCACAAGTCTGCAAGCTTCCAACCAACTGATCAAGCTTGAGGGCATCAACATTCTAAGCCTCCTCAATGGCTGTCACTTTTGATTGGAACCTCTCAGGTAAAGACCTCAAAATTTTTCCAACAACCTTAGCTTCAGGGATTTTTTCACCAAGTGTGAAATAGGAATTCACGATGTCACTAAGCTTAGCATAGAAATCATCAAACGTCTCATCATCATGCAAAAAAAGGGTTTCAAAGGCAGAGGTGAGACATTGAAGTTTTGACCTTTTAAAAGAAGTAGTACCCTCGTGAATCATTTCAAGAATGTCCAAGCCTCTTTTGCTACCTCACACGTGCAAATACGACGAAACTCTTCAAGTGTAACGGAGCAAAAAAGGGAATTGTGAGCCTTACTGTTCCAACTCAAGTTTTGATAATCGGTTGTGTCCCATTTATCGAGGGGTTTGGGAATATCAATACCATCAATGGTGACAATAGGTCCACTCCATCCATAGATCACACAGTGCCAAACTTTCTCATCGATGGATTTTAGAAACGCTCTCATATGAGCTTTCCAATAAGAATAGTTTGTACCATCAAGTAACGGATATCTATGGGTCGAGTTACCTTCACGAATTGAATCCATATCACCAATCACACAAAATCACACTCCTATAGTTTTGACAAAAACAAAGAGTGACCTGCTTTGATACTAATTGAAAATTCTAAGTAATTCGTGATTAGATCAAGATTTAATTACTCCAATTCCCAATCATTCAAAACTCACAATCTAAATCATCAAGCGCTTACGAACGTGATTTAGATTGTTGTTTTCGAAAAACAATAAATCGACACAAATGATTTTTACATGAAAAAAATCATAATTGAAGCACCTTCAATTGTGATCAAAAAACCACAGGCGACACGCCACTAATCAATCCACTATTGAAGAAAGAAAGATTACAAAGATAACAAACAAATTACCCAAACGCTTCTAATTTGTTTCAAATCTTCTGTATATCTTTCACCGCAGCCTTCGTCTCGAAATTGACTAGACTGAAGATGAATCCACAACTTCTATTGTCAAATCAACGACTACACATAGTATCAAATTCCTTTGAAACTCCATGCTTGAATCTCCGGATTCCACCGAAGAAGAACACTCTTGAATATAACCAATCAACCTCCTTGATATGTACTTATCAAAACATGAGTTTAATACTCACTCAAATCATCAAGGAAAACTCACAAAAAACTCCAAAAGAAAACCTCAGAAAACCTTAAAGTAGATCTCAAAACGTAATCCTAGTTTTGAACTAAAACTAGTATTTATAGAAAATTGGGATAGCGAAGCTTGCTCAAGCGAAGACTCTCTCCCTCGAGCGAGGAACTAATCTCGCGTGTTTTCCTTAAGTGGCTTAGCTTGAGCCACGCTACCTGCGCTCAAGCGTACATTCATCCTTCTCAGGTTTTTTACAGACGCAGCCTTCGCTCGAGCGAGGACTCCTTCGCTCGAGCGAGCAAGACAAAAAACTTAGAAAAAATGCAACTCGATAAAACCATGTTTGTCCATGGGATTGACAAGACTAAGGGACCTAACACTTACAAATTTACCCTTCAATACAATCTGACTAAACTAATTATAAAAACAAATCAAACACAATTAAATAAATCAAACACAATTGATTTAGAAAATTAGGAGTAAGATAAGACAAAAATAAAGTAATAAAATCAAAACAGCTAAGATCAATTAGTAAGAATGAGTTTTATCAAAAGAGGTATTGCCAAAACATAAATCATTAATTTCTTTAGGATCAAAATCCTAACAATCTCCCCCTTTGTCAATACCGGGACAAAACTTTATAAATTATTCATGCACAAGATTCAAGCAACAAAGACCAAAAATGAATAAGTATAAAATCACAATTTTGTCTTTAGAACGGGATTGCCAACTTGCATTGCGATTCACACAATTAGGATTGAAAATCCTAACAGTGTCAACTAAAGATTGGTTGACCGTTAAAGATCATATGTATGGTCTGGCCATAAATATCTCTTGTTTCTGTGTGTTCCACATCATTTGTTTTTGAAGTGATGGCAATCAGACCATCCATGTTTATGTAGTGTCATCAGTGATTTAACTCTTTTACAAATTTCATTATTTATTGTTTATTTTTTTCAATTGGTACAAGATAATTTAGAAATTTTACTCCTTTACAAACACGTTGGTGATTTTTTTATTTAATTATTGATAACATTTGTGCTTATAGATAAATACATGCACAAAAATATTTATAAGTTGGTGAAAATATATTATGCTGTAATTTGAATTTTCCATTTTTAAAGGACATCTGATACAATATCTAGTACCTAGAATTTTTAGTTGAGTTGAGTTGAATGTATGGAAACAACGGAAACTAGATCTTTGTGCTTATAGATAAATACATGCACAAAAATATTTATAAGTTGGTGAAAATACATTATGTTGTAATTTGAATTTTCCATTTTTAAAGGACATCTGATAAAATATCTAGTACCTAGAATTTTTAGTTGAGTTGAGTTGAATGTATGGAAACAACGGAAACTAGATCTTTCAAAGTAATTTCACATTTTATCTCTTCAACATTTGGCAGAAGTAACAAGATATCTAAGAGAAATACCACCAGCTCACTTCATTTTCGAGATCGAGTCATTCTCACAACTCTCACAACTATTGTCAGATGCTGAAGTTCAAAATTTTGAATCAGACATTTTTGAAGCCAGTGGCTACAAATGGTTGAGTTTGTATACTATTTACTTATGTTTTTTTGTTTTCCTCCTTTCCTGTTGAGATACATACCCATAATCTGATTCTTATAGTTCTTTTGTGTTCAACTTGAAGGAAATTATCATTCTACCCAAATGATGATAGAAAAAGAAAAGGGGAAGGACACATCTCTTTGTACTTGGTAATCGCAGAAACTAGTAATTTGCCTCTTGGTTGGGAGCTCAATGTGAACTTCAAACTGTTTGTGTATGATCAAATTCAAGACAAGTAGGTGACCATCCAAGGTGGGTAGTTTTTTTTAGTAACCAATCAGTTTCCTTTATGATTGTTTGAGGTTTTTAAATTTTCCTCCTCATGCATATTTTGCATACATTAATTACTCTACACACTTGATTTTTCTTCTTTATTTCAATGCTCCGATGCCAATGAGAAGGTAAGACACTTTCACGAGATGAAAACAGAGTGGGGTTTTGCCCAATTACTCCCGCTCAGTACTTTCAATGATGCTGATAACGGATACCTCATCTGCGACACATGTGTTTTTGGAGCAGAAGTTTGTGTTATAAATTATACTAGCAGAGGACAGTCTATAAATATACTGAAGGAACGTAACAATACTTACACCTGGAAGATTGATAATTTTTCATCTCTAGATGGTGAAATTCATTACTCTGATGTCTTCACTTTTGGAAATCTAAAGTGGTATGCAATGTTTGAGTTTGCTCTCAATTACTATATGCAAATTGAAAATTTGACAATGTACTGCTTTTTATGCCTTCCTCTAACAGAACCAGGAATTTACGGCTATATCCCAAAGGAAATTTAACTGCAAAGGATATCCCAAAGGAAATTTAACTGCAAAGGATAAATGCCAGTCCCTCATTTTAGGTTTAAATGATTTGAAAACCTTTCCTTCTGTACGGAAAACATATGCAAAATTCAAGATGCGCATGAGGAACCAATACCATGGCGAGCATATGGAAATTGAAGGTGATATTTTGTTTTCTTCTATTTTTTGTTCATATCTTAGGTGCCACTGTCAACATGAGCATAAAATTACCCTTCTTTTCCCTCTAAAAATCCAACAAATGAAAATAACCTTTAGTTGTAAAATAAGTATGAATACAGTCCGAAGAAATCATATCCGTGGGACACTGCTTGTCTCATTTGCGAATTATGAAGAGCTTTTCATTTATGTAGATCTTTTGGGTAGTTAAATAACAATTGTCCAATTCTCTTGCAGGTTACAATTGTTTTACCTCAAGCTCCATGGCCTGGGGTCCATCTTCATTCTTGTTGTTAACTGACCTCCATGATGCTTCTAACGACTTCCTTGTGAATGATACTTTAATTGTTGAAGCCAAAGTTAGCGTCTTATCCACAGGGCAGAATTTCTCCGTGTAAATATGCGTGAGGCTTTTGTCCCAGTAATACAAGGAAGTTAGTAGTATCCTTGTCCTTCTAATCTGTTAATATCATCTTGTGCGTGGACACAAACTTATGAGTTAGAGACTTTTACGCTATGTAAGACTTCTTTTCATGTGCGAGTTATTTTTTAACTGTTTGTGATTCTTGACTGTAACTTGTTTACATTGAATTAAAATCATGGAGATAGTCTAAATATCCAACTCCATTTGAGAAATATACTTCTAGCAGTTGCGAATGGTGATATTGTCATCAAAATTTATATTGAATTTGACACAAAAATATCTATTGTACATGATTTATATTTTGAGGATCACGACACAAGTGAGTTATTAGCTCATGTGTTTAAATGATTATTATAGATTACTGAAGGCAAATCAAATAGACTGACAGTATTCTTAGGGAAGCAAAACATTGTTGTACTGTTCTATTTTCTTTTTCTTTTTTTTCTTTCTTGGGTTTTAACAATGTTCATTATAATATTCCAGTGAAACAATGATTAAACCAAGTTAACACAATCCATATCCACCCAACCTTCTCAACTAGAGGCCCTTATAAAATTTCACATATTTTCCTGTCAAACTCTATTTTGGTTTTAGAATATTCCAAATAATAGCAGTGACTAAGCTAGCACTTTATAATTCGGTCGGGTTTGGTTTTAGAATATTCCAAATAATAGCAGTGACTAAGCTATTATTTATAATTTCATGAAATTTGAATCCAAACTAAATCATAAAAATATTGAAATCACATGAGACCAAACTAGTAATGCCGTTAGATTTAGTTTGGAATCACGATTCTAAAACCTTATCATCATTCAATGATCACAATCTACTAAAACATCAAATAATATGTCTTCAATTTTTAAAATAAGAATTGTTTAAAAAATTTAAGAACTAGGGTTATCACTCTACAGGAATTGCAGTTTTTTTTTATTATTATTTTACTCGGCCCTATTTTATACTTAAATGAACTCCAGAAACCATTATTATAAATACACTCAGTCTAGAAGTCCAAATATAAAATTTTTGGAATGATTATCCCAAATTTTATTTTTTTTTAGGCCATAAGGACAACAATATTTTGAAAGACCATAATATAAACACCAATCTATTCACCTGTCTACCTATCTGTTCATATTACTACTGGCCTCTAACGTTGATGAATTTTTCAGCGACTTTTTTGTAAATATTCCAGTGATGATGAGTTTTCCAGCAATTTTTCAAACAATTTTTCAGTCTATAGAACCCATGCTTCAGCTTTTAACGGTTCAAGGCCTCCCTGAAAGGATGGCGGTTTCATTTTGCTGAACTTCTGGGTGAGAGCAATTATGTCCCCATCATTAGCATTCACATTCTGTTCATTCACATTCACATTTCGTTCCGATACAACCGGAGGAGGAGGTGGGGGCTGTTGATTCAGTTGTTGGTCCAGTCTTGCAGTTATCAGTTCCATCATTTGTTCCAGTCTGGCCATTCTGGCCTCAGAGGATGAGGTTTCGGTTTCATTTGCAGTGTTTGCATTATCCATTTCACTATAAGCAATTATAACAGTTTTAAACATAAGCAATCATTTGTTTAACTGTTTTAACATGTTAACATATATTTAGTCATAACATAACCACACACTTATCATGCTCATGAAATGCTCTATTACTTTCTAGGACACACTATAGCTCATTTGGACACGTGTGTGCGGTATAACTCGTGGTAAGTATCGCTCTGATACCACTCTGTCACGACCCAAACCCGGGCCTATGGGTTTAGCACCGTAACCGGCCAGTAATCCGAGATTACCGAAGGCCTGCAGAACAATAACACAGTAAAATAGAGTACAGGGCCTGGCGGAAGCCAATACAGTAAAGAAACAATGCCCAATGAGCTGTGACAGTCTGTATGCAAAAAGACTTTTCATACATTTATACGCAAACAGTACAGAACAGTATGCACAATATATACAATCATTCAGACTAGGGACTTCATCCCTTACATAACAGTACAGTAAACATTCAGTCGATACAATCCATTCAGTTATTACAAAACAGTAAGACAGTACAGAAGGGGGAGTCCTAAAACACCCCTAAGCCTTAGCAAGATAGGCTCGGAACCTCGCAGTGAGGCACAGTTGTTGGCTTGACAAAACTGGAGTAACCCTAACGCTCCTAGCCGCGGTCTGGTGCCTGAACACCTACATATATATATGAGCAGTGAGCACAGTATTTCAGTCGTTCAGTCAGTACAGTCATATGTGGTACACCCATTAGCATAACAGTACAGTAAACAGTAGGTCTAAAAAGACCGAGTAGTAATGATGGCCATCAGTCAGTAAACAGTAGTGGCTCCAACAAGGGAACCGACAGAGATTTCTGTCTCAGTAACAGCAAACAGTAGGTGCTAAGGATGCCACAATACAGTTCAGAATATAGGACATACATTCATTCAGTTAACAGTAATCAGTTCAGAAAACAGTACAGTTCAGTTGTTCAGAAGATAATCTTTTGTGAACATATCTTTACACAATCGTTACTCACAGAGTTTGGGCCCCAGTATGCTAGAGCGTGTCTCCCCAGTCGCCAACCCTACACAGTTAACAGATTGAACACACACTAAGCTACACAGTTGGGAAAGATAATAACTTAATCCCTAGTTTGCCTTGGTGTGCTCTACATATATATCCTCAATAAGATGTCTTAAACTAGGCCTAAGAATGCCTAGAATGGGATGAGGATGCAAAGATGCACTCAAACAGCAGTTTCAGAAAAACAGAGTCCCGCTTGAGCGGACATGCAACAAAGGTACACGCTCGAGCGTCAACTTTCCCGCTCGAGCGTACTGTAAAAGTACTGGACGGGTGAAATCTCTGCTCGACGAACGCTCGACGCTCGCTCGAGCTTGAGACACAAGACTCCGCTCGAGCGCCCAGTCCTCAGCTCGAGCGGATAGTAAAACAGTGCAGGGATGCTGGATGCTCGAATTCCCCGCTCGAGCGCCACTTCCCCCGCTCGAGCGGGAGTGCAAATTCTGGAAATCCCAGATTGCACCTCCAAGCTCAAACTCAAGTTTAAAAGCATCAAAACCGATCCTCTTGGGCTGAATTCCAGAAAACATTTGTAAACACATAGAATATCATGGTTCAAAGCTCAATTTTGAGAAATCAAAGCCCAAGGGTGTTTAATTGAAACCCAATTTCAAACCAATTTTATGAACATGGAGGACATGCAACATGCATGAATTTAAATCATTTTGAAGCTCCAACTTGATGCTCTAAGGAGCCAATTCTTTTCAACACATGGTGAAATCATGGACTTAAACATAATTATGGACATGCATGTACCACTTTACCATGAAATCAACTCATAACTCAACAATTCAAACATGCATGCATGAAATGAGCTTCAATTCACCATTAATGAACCAATTCATGACTTAGCTCTACAATTACACATGAACCATGCATGAATCAACTTAAAGACAAATCAAAAAGATGGAATTCATACCTAGGTTCCTTGAATGCAAGTCTAGAGGTTCAATCTAGCAAGAACTCCTTTCAATTCCTCCAATTCCAAGCAATTCTAAAGTTGAATCACTCTTTTCCTCATGCTCTCTCTCTCTCTCTCTAGTCGGCAATGACAAGGGAAATGGCTGATGAAGTTATGTTGTTCAAGTGCAATGAGCTCAAAGGTGTATAGGTAGTGGGCACTTAAGGCTAGTTTGGTAAATAAGGCCAACCTATGCAATTAACTCATTTTAATCTAATTTAATCATACCTAATCAGTTTTCAGATAATTATACCATAAAATCACATTAATTATCATGATCATAAAACATCAATCAATTCCGGATTCGGCCGCCGATAAGGCCTTCAATTAGCAGTTTAAACACTAAAATACGAACAGATCAAATAAACAATCAACAGATAGAATGCAATTCAAACGTACATACTCAGCCAATTCAGTTCCAGTTTTCAGTCAGTCAGTTCAATACTTTAATCAGTTCAATTATCAGTCATAATCAGTTTAGTTTAACGGCAATCAGTGTTTATCGATAAGCAGTGGTGAGGGTTATTACAGAAAGGGTGCATGGTGAATTTTTGGTGACAGAAATGAGACTGGAGAGAGTATCTTAGATTTTGCGTTGGCTTCTGACCTGGTAATGGCCAATACTATGTATAAGAAAAGGAATGAGCATTTGATAACCTTTAAGAGTGGGTCAGTTAAGAGCCAAATATATTACTTTTTAGTGAGAAAAGTGGATCGCCTAAAATGCAATGATTGTAAGGTGATTCCTAGAGAGAGCATGGCCTCTCAACATATGATTTTGGTACTAGATTTATATTTTAGAGAGCAATACCAAGCTAGAAAGGATTACGGGTGTCGTAGGACGAGATGATGTAACCTAAAAGGGGATAAACTAGAAATATTTAAGAATAGAACGGTTAAGGAAGGTACTTGGGACTTGGAAGATGATGCTGACACTATGTGAAACTCGATGGCTAATTGTATGAGGAGAATCTCAATGGAAGTGCTTGGAGAGTTGAAAGGAACGGGACCCAGCTCTAAGGAAACTTGGTGGTAGAGGGAAGAGGTTCAAACGGTAGTTAAGGCAAAAAAAGAGTTCTTTAAAAAGTGGTAGAATGATAGAACTAAGAAAAACCTTAATAGCCATAGATTCGCTAATAAGAAGGTCAAGAAAGTAGTGAGAGATGCTAAGTTGAGAGCTTATGATGACCTATACACTATACTAGATAGTAAGGAGAGAGAGAAGAGCGTATACAAACTTGTTAGGATACGGGAGAGGAAAACAAGAGATTTTAATCAAGTTAAGTGCATCAAGAGTGAGGATTCTAAGGTATTGGTGAAGGATGAAGAGATTAAGGAAAGATGGAAGAATTATTTTGAGAAACTATTAAATGAGGAGCATTGAGGTACGACAATAGGGGAAGAAATAGCCAGTAATACCATAAATCAAGACTATAG